GAATCAGGACCAATGTTTTTCGAGGGCCCAGAGTCGGCTCTGTACGCACCTCGAGACCAGTGATATCGCAGTATTTTTTCGCAGGTTTAAACGATGGCGGCGCTTCGATATTCCAATCTGGGAATTATGCAGAGGCATAAGTTAAAACTGTCGCCCAAAAGACGTTCTTTCAACCGGCCAGAAGACCACCATACATGTCGGGAAATCCACCGGCAAATCCAATGCCTTTTCAATCGCCGCAATCTGCTTCAATTTCTTGACAGCCTTTGGAGCTGAATACGAAGAACTGTTTTTAAACGGTTTGGGCAGCGCTCGCGAGTCGAGGCTCAGTACGACGTCGATGGTTCGCAGCGGTGAGGAGGAGGCTGACGTTTCTTTGGGCGTGTCTGCGGCGGAAGCATCAAGCTGGTGGGCAAGATGGTTATGTCAGAAAGCAATCGCTTGCAATGGACGATTTGGTCTGAAAGGACAGACAGACCTTTGCGCGCTTAGCGGCTGGAGCTCCCGCGCCCGAGCGGGATCGCGTTGCTTTTGGCCTAATATGGAAGCGAGGAGAGCATTCGAGTGGGTCAGTCAGCGTTTCCGCGGGCGAGGGCAAACGGTCCGTCCAGTGGGCAGCATGGCTGTTGAGTGCTGGTCAGACGACGTACATTGGGAAGCGTTAACCTTGAAGGGTTGAGGGAATCATGTAAAACCGACGAGTCTTTTTGTCCCGTTCCCACTTTTCGACACCAGCAGCCCTGAACATTCCACTCGCATTACACTCCGCTGCCAAAAATAGCTCGGGCCTGCCCTCTCATTCAAACACCGCTCTGGAGTAAAAGGGCAGAGGGCCCCCCCGCCTACCTTGCTTTTGCTCTTTGGCTATGGCCCAACAGCGAACTCAACAGCGTACTCTTCACTCAACGACCAATAACCGGACATAGGACATACCCACAGCTCCCACAAATCACGCAACCATCACCATGAATCCGCAACAGTATATGACCGAGCAGCAACAGCTCTACATGTACGCTGCACAGCAGCAGCAGTTGCTGCAGCAACAGCAGCGTGCGGCGGGCCCGCCACAAGCGGGCGGAAGTCTACAGAATCAGCAGCAACAGCAAAACAACCCAACTGCTGGTAATGGCGGCGGAAGCGGTGGTGCTGGTCAGCAGCAGCAACAGCAGCCGGCCCCGTCCGCCGCCCAGCCGGTCTACGAATGGCAATTGACCATATCAACCGATGTGCGGCAGACATGGATTACTCGGCTGTAAGTCTCCCTGTTTGATGCCAGAAAATCTGGAATATTGCTTTTGCTGTTAAGCTCAAAGTGATTTTGGTATCTAATCGTTGTTTTGATTTGTTGTGATGCCTTGAAAATGTAGTGCTTCGGCCATACGCACGGTTTCGGCCTCGTCAGCACGTAGCAGCCACATCAACCCAGAATTGATGGCAACGACGTATGAACAACGAACATACGCACAATCAAAGACGTTGGTAAGTTTCACCTTATCAGTTGGGAGTGTGGGTCCATTCTCGTATACGAGATGTAGTTTATCTTATTGTCAACGGTTTCACACTGTACGTTCTACTCATATTCCCTTAACTTTCCTACCAGGCCGAGTATACCCGCGCACTAGAAGGAAAGATGAACAACTTCCGAGATCAGATACAGAGCATTCAGCAAGCGTTCCAGCAGCATGCCGCAAGCGGCGGACCGTCCATTCCGCGGCCAATGGCGGTACCACCCGGCTCGCACGCCAAGGTTCGCCAGCTCGTTGAATCCAGGACAGTGCCCGAGCTCCAAGCGATGGCTCGGGCAAACAACATGAAGCCAGGTCTCCTGGAGCTTCTGGTCACGGAACGTCGGAAATACGAAATGCTGCAGCAACAGCAGCAATCCCAGCAATTACACGCCCAGCAGGTGAGTTTGGCTACTTGCAGCTCGTTGCAATGTGGCTTTGAGGGCTTATCGCGGTGTTTTTTTTTTCGTCAAGTTCCCCGCAAGGGCACCGCCGAGACCTGGACAACAGGCCGTGCCCGCTGGCCGTGTCCTGAGTGCACAGCCAATAGGACAACCTACAATGCCAATGACGACCGGACCAACGCAACAGCAAATGCAGGCTCTGTACCAACAGCAGCAACAGCAAGCTATGGCGCCCGGCATGGCGCAGGCACATTTGGCACAGCAGCATATGATGCAGCTTTCACAGCCTCAGTCATCTCAGGCGCTCCAGCAACCACAACAGGTACAGCTTGTGCATCTTCACGTTGCTCAAGATTATGATCTTGCAAGTTACTCACAATTTCCTGTTTCACGAAAAGCTTGGTCTTCAACAAGCTCGGCCAGTTCCGAATCAAATTCCAACGGCTAGTATCATTCAACAGCGGCTGCAAGCCAAACACCAACAACAGCAGCAACAGCAGCTGCGCGGACCACAATCGCAGCAAACTGCACCAGTAGCACGACCACAAGGCGGCCCACAGCCGCAAAATGGTCCGCGACCTCCCATCTCGCTTACTCCTCAGGAAAAAGCATTTATTCAGCAACGCATGGCTCAACTCAAGTCGATGCTCGATCGATCGGATGAGCTAATGGGCTTGCTTTTGTCTTGGGGAACTGACGCCGATAACATAAATGTTCGCAAAATCCTCTCAAGCCGCATGTTGTGCCTCCAGCAGATCCAAGGATTCGCCACAGACACTTACGTTATCCCGCCAGCGGAGATCGAAGCGATTCAGACTTTTTGGATCCAGATGTTCCGTTCGGCCGAGACAAGACGCAAGATGATGAATCCTGGCAGTGCAGGATCGGTTGGCCAGCCATCACCCCAGCAGGTGCACCACCAGCCTCGGCCACAGCAGCTCGAGACTACTTCTCAGCAGCAGCAGCAGCAGCAGCAACACCCGCCGCAGCAAGCCAAGCAGCAACAAAAGCAGCAACAAAAGCAAACACCGTCGCGTCCTGCACCGGCTCAAGAAACTCCCAAGCAGCAGCCTCTGCAGCAACCGCTGCAGCCAGAGCGCTCAGCCCCGCCTTCGGCGGGTGCGGAATCTTCTACCGAGGCTGGTGCTCAACCAGTCTTGTCCAAGTACGCTCAGCTTCAACAGGAGCTGAGGGCGCAAGCGCAAGCTAATGCGAATCAGCCCAAAAAGACTCCTAAGAAGCGCACGTCAGTGTCTACAAACGCAAATGCAATCGACGTGGACGCGGCGGGCGAGTCGTCGAAGACGGCACCTCATTCTGCCGGAGCGAAAAAGGCTGCACAGAAGCCGGCCCCTGGAAAGCGTGTTGCTACCAAACGGCCATCGATTTCTGGCGGAGGTGCCACCCGTGGGCGTCGAACATCGTCGGCATCTTCATTAACTTCGCACGAACAAACTGGTGCCGTTGTGGCTCCCGCGCCTCAGGCCCAGCTCACGCAGCCTGGTGGGATGCCTGGATACCCTCCGATTGGCCTCGGGATACCTCCGCCTCAGCCCATGTATGCCATGGGATACGATGGCCGGCCAATTCCGGCAATGGTACCGCTTGTGATGCCTCCTCATCCTGGTGTCGTGCCAATGGGCATGCCCATGGGCGCACCGATGCCGCCGCCAGTGTTTCAAGCTCCCGGATGGCCGCCAGGATGGATGGCAGCTCGAGAATCAATGTCGCGGATTGCGCCAAACTACTGGGCGGACCCCACATACGACGCCGACACGTCGATATCGGACACGCTGGCCATTGAAGAAGCTGAGCAGTTTGTGAACTGGGAAGGCGAAGAGGACGTGCCTCCTTCAACGATGACGGCACCGCCGCTGTCCTCTTCGTTATCGAAAAACATCAACACTGCCGCAGACGCCGCGCAACGAGCCGAAAGGCGCTTCTTTGGAGCTTATCCGCCTCAACGATTTATCTATATTGAGGGCCGCAACCGACGGCGCATTCTTTCTCCACCTCCGACGCCCGTCACTACCGCGGACCTATCGCAAGCTTCGCCATTTTTTTCCACAGTGGCCCACCCAGCCGTAACGCTTCCGACGCCCACGCTTCGTGACGATGGTGATGCGACCGCTACTGCTGGAACAAGGGCCCCGCTGTCTCCGATCTCGCCTGAAAAGTCATGGTTTGGAGCGCCTCCGCCACCACCACAGACGCCCACGTTACCAGCAGACGGCGGCCGGAGTAGGAAGCGCGCGCACGAAGACGATGAACAACAGGACGATGCTTTGGCGGGCCCGAGCAACGTTAAGCGGTCCAAAGTATGACTCAGGGGAGTAAAAAGTTTCCGTTTATCCACACGAGACGGCGCGAAGAGAACCCAGGAAGGAGAGTAATATATTGCATTTTTGAGAGCACTACCGTAAAGATGGGAGCGGGCAATTGCGGGAACACACTCCCACACACACTGTACACCAACGAATACTGAGTTTGAAATAAAGATTCATCGAAACAAATGAGGGTTTTTGAGTTTGCTCGATTGGTTAACGCCACTCCCATCTCCGTCACCTTTACCATATTAAACGGGATCCGGTACTTTCTGGTGTGCAGTAGCGGAACTTGCAATAAAGTGACCTGGTGGGGACATAACACGAAACTAATGACTCACTATGACACACCACAATGTTAAATATGACTCACAATGCTTATCTCTGCTGCTTAGGATGAGCTGCTCAATGCAGGAGAGGCTGCTGGAGGGGAGCAACAGCCCAGGAAAGACAGTAAGAATGTATTGGAAAGCAGCAGAGAGGCTGTGAAAGGTTGCGAGTGGCCAGAAGAGGCAGCAGAAAATGGTGGTAGCTTTGTAGAGCAAGCGCAGGCTCAGAACAGGCAGCGATGGGCAGTGGGGACCCGTAAATTGAATGCCGCCTTGCTTTTACATCCGCATTTTTTTTGCCTCACAACCTCAGCCACACTTCGCCGACAAATCTCGCCGAGGTACCAAGACAAAGTTTGACTACAAAACGATCAAAATTGCAGCCCTGGTACCTTTTAGACGTTACAAGCCGCTACACGGCCCCCGGCGGCACGCTCCGGTCTTGTGAGGCAGTGGTTAACCTCTCGCACTTTGAATGCGATTACCTGAGTTCGAATCTCAGCAAGACCTTTTGTCCGATCTGATGAAAATCTCGCTTTTGGCGTAGGGGCAAGATGTGTTTTGGGCGCCACGAGCCCGTAGTTGGTGAGTCACCGCAGAGGAGACCGGTTCCATCCGAGCCGCCACGACATCGTACCAGCCATGCGAGAGAGCATCCACCGTGCGCATAAGAAGGGCTCAAATGCAAGGAGTGAGGGAGTCCAGCGCTAGCATTGTGGACATTGAGGCGGCGGAAAGAAGGAAAGCGGCACAAAGACTCAAAACCAACGAATACAATAGAGACGTTAGCAGATTAATCAGAGAAATCAGATACCATATATTGGACTTGGCGAAAACTCTAGCAAGAAGAACGCCCTCGAGAGGAAGGCGTCGTCGGCGACTGACGGTAAAGCCAGCGCCTGCGGTCCTCACGGCACCGCGTCCATCGCAACAAGTGGCAATCAGACTATGGAGACTATCATCGCGGAGGAGAATGCGGGATGTGGGTGCGGGCTGCCGCGGGCTGCGGATATGCGGCAGCTCGGCGTCGTTTGCGAATAAGGCACCGATTGTACAAGATTTTATGGAGGAAACCTACAAATGAATCCTTTAAATAATGGTATATTTTGCTTTAATATCAAATTGCATGGGCGCGCCGAGAGATATAAATCGATGCTAAATGCTTCCTGCTTCTAAGGGCGCACGAGAGCGAGCAAAGTAAACTAAACGCAATATACTGCATGAAGACTCGACACCGTTCACGGGTCCAGTAGCCGGTCTAGACCAAAGGGTCTTAGAGGCGTGATCAAAATAGAAATTCGCAAACATAACTTCCACAGCCATAAAGCTTCACCGAGTTTTCTCGCGCCAATCGCATATAAAAGCCATGAGATCCTGCACCAGATCTGAGAGCAAGACGTTAGGGCTCTTCCAACTGTCTTGTCAGAAATAACATTTCGATTTACCTTTTACTTTTGCAACCTCTTCCCGCTTGAGGCCCTCATACATGCACCACTGCGGGAATGATCATCCAAAGGTTGTATCAGATTATTTGTCAAAAACCCCCAGCCAAGCCGGCCGCTACCTACATCAACAAAGGGCATGCGCGGCACGATACGATGCACTCTCAGAGCAAGGTAGGTAGCTGCGAGTGCCAGCTCCACCGGCATAGGCAGCCAGTCTCCAATAATGCGCGGACACAAGTGCGCGTCGTGCGCGAATCCCAGTGCGGTCTGCGCGACAGCTGTCAGATCCTCCAACGTCATTCTTTTCCGCCCGTCGCCATCGATGAGGATTACAGAAAGGTCTTTACGCATATCTGCCAGTAGACCCACAACCTGTGGGAATGGCGAGGGAGCTTTGATGACATCAAAACACAGGACGCGTAGCAGCGCCAGTTCTGCGGTCATTAGCGAGGTCTTGAGATCCCAGTATTCGTCGCCAATGACGAGATATGGGTCGCGGCGATGGAAGTGGTTGTCGCCTTTCGCTTTCTCTTCCTCCTCTTTCGCCTCCTCAGCGTTCTCCTTGACTACGACCAGCCAGTAACATACGTTGATAACGTCGCGCATTTTCAGTGGCTCCTCGCACTGCTTTGCGGAGAGATGAACACAGGCCATAGCGACCATGTAGTCGTCCATGCGGTCCTGATTTGAAGGCAGAGTGGCAATAAATGCATTGTAGCGGTGATAGTAGACCAGCGCAGCTGCTGAAGTTTGTGGTTCTCTAGAAGTATACATGCAGAAATGCGTCAGGCGCGTCCACTCGGCTTGTCCGCGCACACGCGGCCAAAAAAGTAGCAAGTATTGTGCGTGCAACCGGATGTATTACACATGGAGCATTGAGCCTGTTTGAACGATAAACTCGAGGATGGGGCGGCAGGATGGTGTGAGCACTGCAGGGCCGTCTACAGTGAATAGCGCGACGGCAGCTCCTCCTTCTCCTTCTCCTCCTCCTCTTAGTCGTCCTCCTGCGTGCTTATCTGCCATGTTATCATGCCGGACTGCGGGGACTGGCGGTGCTGGCGGTGCTGGCGGTTGTGGTTGTAGATGTGGTTGTTGTCGCCGAGGTTCCAACATGTGCGGGAACTCTGGGCTGCTGTGCTGGCCGTCGTGATGATAAATGGTTGATAACGCGGGCCGCCGGGCGCCGCAACGCATCTCCGACGACTTGCACACAGAGCAGAGAGAGACTCTCGGTCATTACTCTTCAACCCCCCTTCTTCCGAATAAACGTATATATCGCTGTCTTCATCTGGGGCAGCCATATTAGAACCCGTCTCTTCCGCATCTTTGCTTGATCAAACCAAAAGGTGTCTGTCCCTCCCTCCGCTCTGCCGCCGTCCCGCTTGTGGCCGCTCGCTCCGCGTCTGCCCACGCCACAACCAAACTCACGATTGTCTCCTGTCTCTCATCCCTCCCTACTCTTCCGCCTGCTCGTCCAGTCTTAATCAAATCCCCTTATTTCGGTATGTGGAAGGACGATGCACATCCCGCAGCACAACCTTGTCGGACGTCCATCTCCAAACGTCGGCGATTGGCCCATGACACTCTCCGCTGACGTCAGACAACCACATTTCCCGTGGGCTTGCAAATATAGGTCGAACGGACTCTATCGCCCGACTACTACCACCGCCCGCTTTCGCATCCCGCACCTCTCGTCATGAACCCCGAATAGTGAGTGCCAGGATGAGGGCTTGGGATTCTTAATAGCAAACAAACGCGACGGCCGGTGGCGCGCCAAGGCTATCTTCCACCCGCATATCCCTTCAGCGGCGCCGCCCTATGCTTGCACCTGCATAATACTTACTGGGAGCGTCGGTCGCTCTCTCTGGATTTTTTCTTTGGCGAATGCGGGTTTCCGCGGCGGTTGCTCATGTTCTCTTTATCTCTCACCCCGTGTCTCACCTTTCTCCAGCGATTACCTGTTCAAACTGCTGCTTATCGGCGACTCTGGCGTCGGAAAGTCTTGCCTGCTGCTTCGATTTGCGGTAAAGACATTGGGAGCTGATTATGGGAGTTATGGGTTTCATGAGGACCGTTGTTGGCTGACAAAGGTCAAACATGCGCTCTTATTTGCTTGCTTAGGACGACACATACACTGAGAGCTACATTAGCACCATTGGCGTCGACTTTGTAAGTTTGGAGAGAACAGAGAGCGAAGAAGCCGGACCGGTTTCACGTATTACCTCCATTAGGTTACTAACTCCGATGACTCGCAAATCTAACAGAAAATTCGCACCATCGAACTTGAGGGAAAGACCGTTAAGCTTCAGATTGTAAGGCGCTGACCCACGGGTTTTCTTATCTCATCACAAGGCAGGGGATTTTAAACACTGCTTTGCTGGTTACTTCTTCAGTGGGACACAGCCGGCCAGGAGCGTTTCCGCACAATCACATCGTCTTACTACCGCGGCGCCCACGGCATTATCGTTGTGTACGACGTGACGGATCAGGACACCTTCACCAACGTCAAGCAATGGTTGCAGGAGATTGACCGGTACGCCAACGAGGGTGTCAACAAGCTACTTGTGGGCAACAAGAGCGATCTTACCACCAAGAAGGTTGTCGAGTACAACACCGCTAAGGTAGGAAGAGGAGACGAGTGAACCAAAAGTCGCAGAGCAGCAGCGAAGCAAACGCGTGGAAAGTGCAATGGGGCTTATGACTAACGAGTCTTTATATTGATCTTTTACTTTTAGGAATTCGCCGACAACCTCCAGATTCCGTTTTTGGAAACCTCTGCGAAGAATGCTACAAACGTCGAGCAAGCTTTCCTGACGATGGCCAAGCAGATCAAAGACCGGTATGGACAACGTTTGAGATGGGCATGCAAGTCGCATTGGGGTTTTTTCTTACCGTGTTGTTGTTTGCGATGACTGTTTTTCTTTGCAAAGGATGGGCACCTCAACCACCGCACAGCCAAACAAGGCGGGCGTCAAAGTTGGAGCTGGCGCCCCCGTGCAGGCGCAGCAGGGCGGAGGGTGCTGCTAAATACATGTATTCTGTCCTGTGGTGTATGTGTTTTTACTACCCTCTCCTCTCTACTCCCTCCTATTTTTTCTTCCCTCGCTCCCCACCTGTGACCCACCCACGCAAAAAAGCCTTCCGTCTCACTCACCCGCGTCCGACCTTTTGTCCTTTTTCCTTTCCTCTACATTCGCTGTTCAGTGCTTTTCTACTTCTGATTGGCCAAAACTACCACACTTTTAACAGTGTCTTGCCAAAAAGAAAGATAATCTCTTCGCATCCTCCTGCTTTCTCGCGGTGAATAGCGCAAAAATTGGTGGTGCTTCTCAAGCGACCGAATTCATTAAGGCGGCAAAGATACAGACTTTTGCTTATTTTTGTTTGGGGTCTATCTACATAGCGGTACAGAGCTAGGAGTAGGGAGGCATGAGCTGGGAAGCGAATGGGATGGAAGACCGGGCAGCGGAGTTCTACAGCATAAAACTCCGGGTAAAAACAACGCCTTCTCCGTTTCCCTAGTCCATGTCGGCCATCTGCGTAGGCTCCAGAGCCCTTCTCGAAGGAGGTGCAGGGGCGGAGGGTGAAGGCCCAGCAAACAGCGACTTCATCATTGCCTCGAGCGGGTTGACAGGTTTCTTTGGACCAAGGTCAAAGAACGCTTCTGCGATCTTCTCGACAAGCTCGACGAGGTAGCCGTCAAAGGCGATGACGTCGCGGTAGCGAGCGCGGAGGGCAGTAAACTGCGTTGCGGCATCGCGCTGCACGCAGAGGATGAGAAACTGGCAAAAATTGAGGAGGGAGGAGGCGTAGAGGGCGAGAGGGAAAGATTCGCTGCCGTCGGCAGAGGAAAAGGGGAGCGCGGCGCCCTTGAGGCCGGCCCAGCGTTGTGATGCAGCCGCGGTAGAGGCGCTTGCTTCTGCGTCATCTGATCCGCTATTCGCCGCAGCTTTGTCGATCCGCTGCACAAACGTCTCAAACATAGCCGCCGCAGAGCCAATCTTGTGCAGCGCAAGGTACGGCAGCACGGCGCGGGCGACGAAATATCCGGGGTCCGGGAAATAC